GGGGGATGTGGGTTTGCCTGGGACACGGGATGGGGGGATTTAAGGGGATCGTCAAGGGGCAGGGAGGGACATTAGAGGGTTTTGAGGGGCAGAGGGTGGGAGGCAGATTTGGGGACAGGGGCAAGAGGGTTTGGGGGAATGTGGGGGCTGGAAGGGGATTGGGGGGCTGGGTGGGGGAATTATGGGGGCTGGAACAGGGTTGGTGGCTCGGGGGACCGGTGGGGGCATCATGGGGGGTGGGGAAGGTGGGGGGCCAGGAGAGGGGGGTTGGGGCAAGGGTGAAAGGTCACTCTGGGGGGCCCAGCTGCTCACCACCCCTCCCCATCCCCCCAGGACCCGGCGCTGAACGTGGGGGACTTTGAGTCCCTGCGGGCCCCGCTCGACATCCCCATCCCTGACCCTGCCAAGGAGAAGGCAAAAGCCGAGCGCCGCAAGGTGAGCTGGGGGGACCCCAACATCGGGGGGAGCCCAACACGCACCCCCGGCGTGACAGCTGAGACTGGGGGGGAGTTGGGTCATGAGGTCCCACAAACCCACAGGTCAGATCTGGGGCTCTCTCCCTCCCTGCACCCCCATTTTCTCATTCTGTTCTTTTGGGGGGTTCACCGGATGGGGGGGTTCTACAGTTCCATCACCCCTCAAGGGAGGAGGGTGATTGGGGGGGGGGCCTGGGACTTCTGCCCTACACCCCCATTTTCTCCTGTTCTCCTCCTCCGGGGCAGAAGGAAGAAAAGAAGGAAGAGAAGAAAGACGAGAAGAAGTCGGAGGAGGAGGATAAAGGTGAGTGGGGGGCCAGATCTGGGGGGGGGCCTCCATTGATGGGGGTTGGGCCCCTGCCCCCCGCTGCTTCTGGGGGTCTGGGGGTCCAACCCCCCCCATTTGTCTGTCTTTCCCCAGCGCCCCCCTGTGGCCCCGTGAGCAGCAACGAGACGGTTGTGGGGCTGGTGAGCCGAGTGAAAGCCGAGATCCAGGGCGCCAAGGAGGAGCTGGGGCTGGTGAGTGTGAGACGGAGCCACAATACGACCCCGGCCTGGCCACCGTGCAACACGCACCCTGCACAACGCTCGTCCCCCGTGCGCACAACACGGCCCTGGCCAGGCCACCGTGCAACACGCACCCTGCACGATGCTCGTCCCCCGTGCACACAACACGACCGTGGCCTGGCCACTGTGCAACACGCACCCTGCACGACGCTTGTCCCCCGTGCGCACAACACGGCCCCGGCCAGGCCACCGTGCAGCACACACTCTGCACGACGCTCGTCCCCCATGCACACAACACGACCCTGGACACTGCCACCGTGAAACACACCCCCTGCAGGATGCTCACGCCCCGTGCACACAACGCAAGAGGATGCACCACTCGCCTAGGTAACACACCCAGCAGGTTCCATCCCCTCCAACGGGGCAGAAGGACACACACTCATGGTCTCTCTCGTCCCCAGGTCTCTGTCTGGGTTCAACTCCAGGTGCCCCGTATCGAAGACGGCAACAATTTTGGGGTCGCAGTCCAGGTGAGTGTCCCCCCTTCTCCAAACTGCCCCCCACTTCCCCCCCCAGCTCATTAACCCCCGTATCCCCCTCCCCAGGAGAAGGTGTTTGAGCTGATGACGGCCTTGCGGACGAAGCTGGAAGGATTTCAGACCCAGATCTCCAAGTGAGTCCCAAGTTTGGGGGGACCCCTTCCACCCCCAAATCCAAGCCACAGACCCCTCCTACCCCTGTCCCATCAACTTGGTTAAAAGCAAAACAAAGAATCAACCAACCACCCACAAGAACCAAGAAAATTCATGGGCAAAACCCGCTGTTAAATGCAGGGGGGAAAAGAGCTTGAAAAATCCAAAGGAGTTAAATGCCAAAAACCGTTAAAAGGAAAAATTGGATTTTTTTTCACAAAAGCAAGGAATCGAAATGGCAACAAACTTCATTCAATGCAACCTTTTAAGCTCACAAAAATCCCCAAGGAAATTAAATCCCAAACGCTGCGCCCAGTGCCGAGACATTTATTAAAAAAAAAAACAAGGAAATTAAATTGCCTCCTATTTAAAGCAATCTTAATATTTTGCATTTAGCAACCATTTGTGCATTACAATGATTTCGACTTCACAACCTTGATATTTGATATTTTAAGAAGTTTGGATTACAATTTTTCCTCTTCTTTGCAGCCTTCATATTTTGTAATTTAAAAAGGAAGTTAAAATGCACAGTGTCGATAGATGCAAAAAACATTAAATGCAAAATGTGAAGGATGCAAAGGGGAAGGTTACTGTAAAAAAAAAAATTGTTCAATGCAAACGTAAAGATTGGAAAAATATTGTGTGTTAATTTCCTCGTTATTAGAAATTAAAATTCTTGCACTTTTAAAAAATGTAAAAAACATTACATGCAAAATATTTAAGCCACAATCCTACGAACACTTATACATGTGCTTAACTTTACTCCTGGGTGTTAGTATCACGGGTAATAGGCCTAAAATTAAGCCCAGGTATATGTGTTTGTGGAATTAGCAACTGAATTTGCAATTTAAAAAAGCTGTGAAGAGGAAATGCAAAAATTGTTAAATGCAAAATTATCCTGCCCCCCCCCCAAAGGAAATTAAATGCAATAAAACTTAGTTTCCACATAACATTTAAGCTTGAAAACTAGCAAAAAAAAGTTAGTTTCCAGAATGCAAAAAATTTTTGTCAAATGCAAAACATTTTAGTTTGCCAAAAATAAAGCAATGAATGCAAATATCAAAACGTTGTGCAAAGCAGCGAAGGGGAAATTTCCCAGTGCAAAATGGTACTGGTTGCATGGAGGATTAGAATGCAAAACCAAATATAAAATGCAAAAAAAAACCCTGCTTGCCAAAAGAGAGGAACATTTAACGCCAATGAATTGTGTTAAATGCAAAATACTAAAGGTTGCAAAATCAATTTAAATGCAAAATATCTTACCCATCAAATTTTTAATCTAAAAAAACCCTCAGGGAATCTTAAATGTGGAAAATAATTGATGCAAAATTAATGACGGTTGTAAAAAGAGAGCAAATGAATAACAATTAATTGCATTGAGCGCAACATATTAAAATTGCAAAAATTTGAAAATGGCATTTCATTGTCTTCGAAATGTGCTTTGCGACCTTTAGTATGTGTTTGAATTTTAAAACACTCCTTTCTGTTTGCAAGCCAAAGTCCCAGCCGGTTTGATTTGGTCATTGCAAGCGTCGTGGTTTTGCACGTGCAGTTCTGTGTTATAAATCCAATTTGAGGTCAGTACAAGGAGCCATAATACTTTGCAGGGACCAATCTCTGTGCACATTGAAATTCCTTGGTCGTTGGTGTTCCCTCAAGATTAAAAATTTGGCATTTCCAATTTTATTTTCAATCTTGCAAAACCAAAGCCTCCCCCCCAGGAAACGTAACAAGCCTAATACTGCTCAATGCCAAATAAATGAACGCGGCCAAGAGGGTTTGAATGCAAATCCAACTTCATTACCTGCAGATCGTTTCCTGGTTCGGGGGGGCGCGTTACATTTTCTGAAATTTTGTTAAGTTAGGAGGGTGGAAAACAAGGAAGTTCTCACTGCCCCAAAACTTCATGACGGTCACACAGTGGAGAGATTGGGCTACCTTTGTAGGGGGAGCCGCCTGCAAGGCGCCCCCCCCCCCCCCCATGAGAGCCCCCAGCTCGTCCTTCCTCACCCCCAATTTGGGGCTTCAGCTCTGACTTCTGATTCCCCCGCCACATACAGGTATTTTTCCGAGAGAGGCGACGCAGTGGCTAAAGCGGCCAAAAATCCTCACGTGGTGAGTGTCTGGGATGGGTGCAGCCGCCCGGACGCCAGGGTTCCCTGCTGCGCGGGAGAGGGGGTGCCCGGACGCCAGGGTTCTCCGCTGCGTGGGAGGGGGGGCGCCCGGATGCCAGGGTTCCCCACTGCACAGGAGGGGGCTGCCCGGACGCCTGGGTTCCCCAGCAGGGGCTCTGGGACACCAGGGATGGTGGGGGAGACACTGGGCCCCTCATTTCCCTGGTTCTGCCCCCCGCAGGGTGATTACCGGCAGCTGGTGCACGAATTGGACGAGGCGCAATACGCTGAGATCCGGCTGATGGTGATGGAAATCCGGAACCTCTACGTGAGTGGGGGGGGGGCTGGAGAGAATCAGAGGGTTGGGCCAGGTGGATTGAGGGGAATAGCTGGGAGAGTGCAGTGAACGGGGAGGGGGGGCAGCTTCTCTTCTGTGTTGTAACCCCGTCCCCCTATTTCTCCCCTGAACCCCCATTCCACTCTCAGGCTGCCCCAGCCTCAGCCATCTGGGAAGGGAGAGACAGCCGACTTGGGGGGCTTTTCTGGGGGGGAGCGGGTTTGGGGGTGGGGGGTGAAGGCCAACATTAAATGGACCCCAGAAGACCTGGATCCCCCAGGGTAGGACTTGTGGGGGACAGAGGTGAACCCCTAATTTAGCCTCACCCCTAGAAGCCGGCAGCACCCCAATCCTAGACCAACTCCCCCATCTCCTCCCACCTCCAGGCCATTCTCTACGACATTGTGGTCAAGAACTTCGAGAAGATCAAGAAGCCACGGGGCGAAACCAAAGGCATGATCTACTGAGTGACCTTTCACCTCCGGCCTCCACCAATCACAGGGCGAGTTGGGAAGAGAGGCAAAGGCGGGATTCCTGTCTCGCCGCCTGCTGCTGATCAGAAAAATAGAGCTTTAGGGGTTTCGCGGCCGGTTTTGATTTAAAAAAAAAAAGAAAGAAAGAAAAGGCAACAAAATGCCAAAAATTTGCAAAATGGAAAA